TATTTTAGTTTTGTTTAAAAATTTCTCCCAGTACTTTAATTTTTAATTTTTATATCTTTTTACTTTGCTGCTTGAATCTAACAATATCATGTTTTATTCTTTCAAAATACAAAAAATTCCCGACAAGCCATGTAACGGGTTCGAAATGTTAGTTTGGAAATAAATCAAATAGTAATGGCTAGTTTTATCGCTTTCAGCAGGTAGAGCTTCGCTCTTCACCATGGATTGAATTGCCTCTGTGCTTTCGAAGAGCCTTTTTCTTGATTTCTTTTCTTTTTGCGTCAGCTTTAGTTAGTTTCCTCCCTTTCATTGATTCATTTTCCTTTGGTCGTTCATTTTTCTCACCTTTTGCCTTTAATCCCTAGATTCCCAAATCAAAAATCCCTAAAAATCAAAATAAAAAAACCTAAAAATCTAATTCAAAAGGCAAAGTATCCTTTTCTAATATAAGGATAAATAAGTCAAGAAGCATATTTATCTGTCATTTCTTTTTTATTTTCACCATTGACACGTGTTCATTGGGGAGAGGAAAATGTCTAACGATTTGACAAAGGGGGGAGAATATATGTAATGGGGTTGGGATTAGGAAGGGTGTTGAGAATTGTATCTTCTTCCTTGTCTCTCTCTGTAATCCCTCAATATCTCATCTTTGTATCCATCATTGGAGCAATATATCGGAGATCATTCTTCCTCTTCATTATTGATTTCCCTTGTATTACTCTGCTATGTTATCTAGGGCATCAGTTGGTATCAGAGCCACTCTTTCTTTGGCCATGATGAAGACATTTGAGCAAGATATGCTTAACTTTATGAACTTTTTGAGAAATAGGAGGAACTAGCAGTAGGATTGAAGTAGATTAAGGATAACCAAGGGAAATCCTTGGTTAACATCCATGCTAGGATTTTAGGACTTCGGATCCAACAAACCCAAATCAAGACTCAGTTGGAAGCAAATATCATAGCAGCTTCAGTGGGTAACAATGGAAGTAGCAGACAGTCTATTATGGTAACAGTTCAAAGGGTAGGTCCATTAACAGCAATGGCAGTTAGAATCGAGTTTCCCAAATTTGACGATGACAATTTGAAGGATTGGCTATATCGTTGCAACCAATACTTCAAAATTGATGGAACACCAAAGGAGCACAAAGATATGTTATGTAGTGGCACCAAACTTTTTTGGAAGTAAAAAAGGAGCAAGTGCTTTCTAATTGGGAAGCATATGTTGAGGGTTTGTAGGCTCGATTTGGGAGTAAGGTTTATGAAGACCACATGGCAGATCTAATCAAGCTGAAGCAAGTCAAAATGATAGAGGAATACTAGGAGCACTTTGACACTTGGTTCCAAAAATAGGTACTACTGAAACTCAAGGCCTTAGCATTTTCTTGAATGGGTTGAAGAGAGACATTGAAATTCGTGTTAGGATGTTTAAGCCAAAATCCATCTTTGATGCATATGCTTTAGCCAGATTACATGAATCATCCATCCAAGAAAATCAATTACTAGCCAAAAGCTCCAAACTTTTTGCACCATTGTTGCTTACCCCAAACACCCTAAAAACACCGAAGCCCAAGGCAAATCCTAGTAATTCCCCCTCACATGACTCCAAGTAACACCTTTACTAAGCCAAATACCACTCAAAGACCATACAAGCCACTCACTAGGCAAGAAATCAAGATTAAAAGGCAAAAAGGATTATGTTATTGGTGTGATGAAAAGTATTCACAAGGCCACAAATGTGAGTTGATGTAGCTTTATGCTATACAGTTGGCTAATGAAGAAGAAGAAAGGGAGGTGTTTGAGGAGGCTGCTGAAGAATTTCCAGAAGAAGCTATGCCACATATTTTGGTGCTGGCATTGTCTGGACTTACAAAGATAGCTTACAAGACAATGCAAGTGATTGGTCATGTCAACAAAAGGCCAATTCATATCTTGATTGACTCTAGTAGCACCCATAATTTTTAGATATTAATGGTGCTAAGAAGTTTGGATGTAGGCTATGCTCCATGGACCCATTAACTATAGATGTTGCTTGTGGGAATTCCTTGACTTGCTCGAGTGTATGTCCTGGTTTCACATGGTGGTTGCAAGGTAAACCATTTTATACTAATTTCCTTATACTACCATTAGGGAATTGTGACATGGTCTTAGGCATTCAATGGCTAGAAACTCTGGGGGATATTACATGGAACTTCAAATCTCTTAAAATGGTGTTTACTTTTGATGGACATAACTTCGTTTTGAGGGGTACATCCAGTGTGCAAGTGTCTTCCATTCATTCTAAAGGAATGAGTAAACTCTTGAAAGGAGACTCTGTAATAAATACGCACCAAATTTATGGGTTGCAAGTGAGGACCTACACACCTAAGAGCTCTCAAGTAACCTTGTCTGATCATGTAGGAAGAATAAGCCAAACGGAAGCAATTCCTTATGAAATTGATTGCTTACTATAGAAATATCAAAAGATTTTTTAGGAACCAAAATCTTTACCTCTCTACAAGACTCATGATCACAGAATCTTACTAAAAGAAGGAATAACATCAATCAACATTAGGCCTTGTCATTACGTAAGTGTGCAGAAAAATGTTATTTAATAGCTAACTAGGGACATGTTAGCTTCTGGAATTATTCAAAATAACATGAGTTCTTTTTCTTCCCCTGTGATATTGGTGAAGAAGAAAGGTGGGGCATGGAGGTTCTGTGTGGACTACCAAGAACTTAACAAGCACACCATTAAGGATAAGTATCCAACTCCTGTGATTGAGGAATTACTAGACGAGTTGCAAGGATCCACTATTTACTCTAAAATTGATTTGCATGCTGGATACCACCAAATCAGAATGCATCCAGATGATGTACCAAAGACAGCCTTTAAGACACACGATGGTCATTATGAATATTTGGTAATGCCATTCGGGCTTATTAATGCACCATCTACTTTCTAGTCATTAATGAATGAAGTGTTTCAAATCTATCTCAGGAAATTTGTGCTTGTATTTTTGATGACATTTTGGTGTATAGCAAGAGTCTTTAGGAACTTGTAGAACATTTGGAAAAGGTATTTCAGTTGTTAGAAGGTCACAAACTATTTGTTAAAGCTAGTAAATGTTCTTTTGGCAGTAGCAGGGTAAAGTATTTAGGTCATTTTATATTTGCTGAAGAAGTATCCACTGATCCTAATAAGGTTATTGATCCTAACAAGGTTGAAGCAATGAAGAATTGGTCAATTCCTAACTCTGTTAAGGAGCTGCAAGGTTTCTTGGGCCTCACTGGATGCTATAGAAGATTTGTGAAGAATTATGGTAGTATTAGCAAACCCCTAACTGATTTATTAAATAAAGAAGCTTTCAATCAAAGTGAATAGGAAACAGAGCTTTCCATTCTCTTAAGGAAGCCATGATTACTACTCCAGTTCTAGCTCTAGCTGATATTTCCCAAGAGTTTATGGTGGAGACTGATGCTTGTGGGGGAGGAATAGGTGCAGTATTCATGCAAAAAGGGCATCCTATTGCCTATATCAGTAAGGCATTGTGACAACGGAACCAAGCTGTATTGGTGTATGAGAAAAAACTATTGGCCTTGATATATGCTGCTACCAAACGGAGCCATTATCTCTCAAGAAGGCATTTCATTGTCAAAATTGACCATAAAAGCCTGAAATATTTATTGGACCAAAGAATTCATACTAGTCTATAACAGATGTGGTAGCCAAGCTCATGGGGTTTGATTTTACCATTAATTAAAAGAAAGGCAAGGAGAATATGGTGGCAGATGCATTCTCCAGGTTGCCTAATAGTGCGTTACTAGTTATGGCTATTTCTACCATATCGCCTTCCTTATATGAAGAAATTAAAGCTACTTGGAGCATAGATCCAAAGCTTTAGGAATTGATTGAGAAGCTTAGAAATGGCCAAATGTATAACACTCTTTTCACATGGCCTATAGATCAGCTCAGGTGGAAAGGAAGATTGGTGGTAGGCTTTAATGAAACACTAAAGAGCTAGATAATTAGCTCAATGCATGACAGTGCATTAGGAGGACACTCTGGTGTACAAGCCGTTGCAAAGAAACTAATGGCTTTGTTTTATTGGAAAGGATTGGAGAAAGACATCAGGAAATATTTTTGTGAATGTGATATTTGCCAGAGATGCAAGTTTGAAAATGTGGCTACCCTGGGCTTGCTACAACCACTCCCAATTCCAGATGGTGTTTGGATTGACATTACCATGGATTTCGTGCAAGGGTTACTGAGATCAAATGGTAAGGATGTTATTTTGGTTGTGGTGGAAAAATTGAGTAAATATGCTCATTTTATTGCCTTGTCACATCCATATTCTGCATTAACTATATGTCACGTCCCAAAACTAGAAGCGAAATAGATGTCGTACACTTGTGAGAGAATCCCACAAATGCACAAGGCTCGGAACTTGCTAAATTCATTACTAACAATTTACATAAACTCATATCAATATTTCAAAATAAAATCTAGCTTGCAAAGAATACTCTATAACTCAAAATCTATGCCCAAAATACAATGGCTAGCCTTCTAGCTCATCACTCCCCTTGGTTTCCCACGTCTTGGGTCTCACTACTTGAAATGGTGGACGAAGAAAAACTCTGTGAGATAACTCAGTAAGTAAAAATATGGATAGCCCTTAATTAAAACTTATAGCATGCCAACAAACAATTAAAACATAAACCAAAGGACATCTCAGTTATAACCATTAAGGTAAAATAAAAAGTCAATAGTGGTATCCTCAATTAGTCATGGCCAATGTTTACCAAACTCCCACTTACAGGTGTCAATAATAACCAATGTACTAATCCCACTAGCAGGTATAACGGAAATACAGAATGAACTGGTTCTACAAATATACATGTCGATGTGTGCTAGCATTTATAAACTCTCACTAGCAGGCGTCAATAATCATGACCATATTGAAGACAAAACCATGCAGGAGTTATAGGAAAATCTATAATTTACAAACCAATTTCAGGTTATCAGAACAGTTCAATAAACTCCAAGTAGGCATGCTCAAATCAATAAGTGATAACAATTTCATTTTAAACCAATCATGCTCATTTTTGTGTAAGATGGGTTTAATCCCACCACCACTTCAAAAAAATAGTTTAAAATATGTTTTAAAACCTTTACCTTAAAATCCAAGGGCATTTACCATAATTTTACTTACCTTGCCTTGTCGCTATACAATAATCAAGGAACTCAAGAAATCAAGGCACTTGAGGTGATTTAGAACCTAAGCCACATCAAAGAACAAACAAGATTATAACATACCCCATTTAACTAAATTAGTTTCTAATCCTAGCATCAAGTTTCTAATTAAAGAAATAACTTCCTCCTATACCTCCCAGTCACTTCTACCCATTGAAAGCCCATT